TTTTTCATAATATTCATACGCCTTATTCTATATTGAGGTTATATTTCCTGATTATATTTTGTTTAAACCTTGGCATCAATGAATTTACAAGCTATTAGTATCAGCCGTGTACATAATAAATGCCAGTGATTGTGTATATCATTTTTGTCTTAAAGCGTTTTTATGAGGCAATATTTTTATAGTTAGCTTTTTTTGTCTTTCGGAGCACGCAAATGCTTCTGACGATTTCTAACAGTGACTGGTTTTCCTTTATTTACTAAACTATCAACTTGTATTAGGTCAAATGGGTACATCTTTTATGTCGATCTGTGACTTTGTAATTTACCCTAGCATTACTATTCTACTCGTTTTAATGAGTAGTCGTGAACTTTATTTGTTTTTATTGTCGAAAATTATAATCCCCCATTGACCCATTATTTTTGGGCTCAACATTTCACCCGCCTATCTTATGAGTCTCCAATATATAAGATGTATTTTATCTCAGGTAAATTATAAACTATTTTTCATGGTTTGTAGATGCTCTAGTCATGTTGGTGAAGGCATCTTTAGCTCTTCTTTTTCAGCCTTGAGCCAACTTTGTTAGTAAGGGTCTTCATTAAACATTACTGCTACATTTTTAGCGTTTGCTTGTTGCCCCAGATTAAACTGTTACTCAAACGGTAATTAAAGCTGTTTGGCATTGCTATGGCATCGTACTTTTTGCGCTGCACTTTCTTATTTCGTAGTAAATTGAAATACATTGCAATGAAATGATAATACATGTCATTTTCTATCCACTTTTATTATTATTATTGACGTCTATCATTTTCCTCGGGGCTAAAGGGATAGAAGGACTGATGGGGAATTCTGCTACAATCAAATGAGTAGGCCTCATGATGCCAGTACATTTCACCCGGCATTGCTTCCCAATGATTGAACTGCAGTTTCGACCTCGCCTGGGTCTCTCACCAGCATCTTCAACGGGGCCAGACGACTATGCCTCCTCTGGGAAAGGGACAATTCTCTGAAACGTTCCGCACATTCAGGCGTCTGACTAGTTTGCTCTATACAGAGTCGTAGTTAGTCCTAGTTGCATGGCATGACAGCATGCAAAAGCCGTTTTTTTCAGCTGGCCGTTGGAGAGCTCAATTCTGGCGTCAAATTTGGCTTATTCCGCCATTTTTCTGCTTCAGTTTCAGTTCAACCTTTGTGCCCTGCTGAGATTGCTGTTCGCCCAGACTGTTGCTAATCAACCTATTCCATTGCATCTCGGCGTCCGCACCCTTGAACTAGCCGAGCTGGCTGATCGCCCATCCGAGCGGCTGAGCGGCTGAGCGGCAGCATCGGAGGAGAGCGGAAGAGAAATGCTGCTCACTTCTGCCTGGCCCCTGCTCCTTTTGTCCGCTTTGCCCGGCCTCTGTTATCTGTCGGCCGGATGCAGACGGCACTCCGGCAGCAAGTGGCCACTCGGGCCGGGGTCCCTCTCTGGCCGGTCTCACGTGCGACTGTACCAATCGCGATGGCGGGCAGTTGAAGCAGCTTTCCGTTTTCACCCGAACTGCCGTTGTATTGTCCTCCTGTCGGGCTGGGCAGAAGTCCTGTCTGCGAGATGAGGCCCGCTGGGCGGAGGTGAATATGGGACGGCCCGAGTGATCGCCGGCTCGGCTGATGTGTTTGCCATTTGGGACGGATGGCTGGAGGGACTGGCAGAGCGAGCTGTTACGACGAGCCGGCCATTTTGCCGCTCGACATGTGGTTGCCTAATGGGGTGGCGAAAATGAACCATCCTCATATGTCTCTGATGTGGATTT